TGAAAAAAAACAACAACAAAATAATAATAATAATAATAATAATATTTAGAAAACTAAATATATTCTACCAGTACAAGTCATTATTTTTCTAACATTTGTTGTTGTTTTTTTTCAATAGGATATATAATAGAAGGTACTTGTCTTTTAATAATGTGTCATGTAAAAAATCGATATATTGGAATAACATTACTTACCATTGGTGTTGGTTCAAGTGGTTTAATGGTATCTGGATGGCATTTAAATCATCAAGATTTAGCTCCACGTTATGCATCAGTTTTAGCTGGTTTTACAGCAGTTATTGGTACATCAGCTGGTATAATTAGTCCAATTGTTGCTGGTCTTCTTACTAAAGAACAGGTTTCTAAAATATTAATTTAAATTGAATCTGATTTTTTAAAATTTGTTTATATAAATAGGATTTAATTGGATGGCGTCATGTATTTACAATCGCTTCTCTTGTTCTTTATATATCATCTTTATTCTATATGATATTTGCATCAGGTGATTTACAATCATGGGCAACAAAAACTCCATATGAACAAAAAATAAGATTGACTTCTGAAAATTTACCACCATTACTTGCTTCATTTGAACATAATGTTCAAGAAGATATTCATTCAATAAAACAAGACAAAGATAATCAACAATCAGTTGTTAACCGTGATAATTAAGCACTTTTTAAACCGGTGATTTGGTGACATATTCGTCTTTTATTTTACTCTTTTATTTGTTTTAATCTACTTTTTTTTGGTTGAACGAGTTTTAACGCATATTTTTCCGAATATTTATCTTATGGGATATCGACAATTAACTTTTTCTTTAATCATTTAATAAATGTTGAAGGATTTGTTTTTTTATCAGAATTTTATTTTAATCGAATTATATTTCAATAAATATTTCAAATCTTTAAGAATATTTTATTAAATCGAAACATAAAAAAGACAAATATTTACTTAAATTAATTATGTTAAACAATCAATATAATAACAAGAAATAATATCACACAAATTTATTCATTTAATCATTGTTAAATAAATATAATTTCTATCGAATACCTTAGTTCGATTCATAATCTGTATATTTTATGTTTAGATTATGATTAACCACTCGTTTAGTAAATGGATTTTGCTAACGAAAATTTTAATATCGATTATGTTTAATTGATCGGAATTTCAGCTAGTTTTTAAATATTACAATTGAATAGATTTTAAAATTCTTAATCAATAACAAGAATAAAGAAGTCTCCATCTCTCGAAATAAGTTTTGTTATATAAACATACAACAACTAAATTATTTCCGGTGATTAAATTTTTTGTTGTTAGAAGGTTTGAAATAAATAGCAAAATTCTGAAAAATAGTGACTGATTTGAAATAAGAAAGAGGAAAAAAATCACTTCAATTGATCTATAAACCGAATAGATGCATAATCTGCAGCTAAAATGAAAAATTTCTCTGAACGATGAAATTTTCCTTATTATGAATTTCAAATAAAGATTCGTTTGGAAAATGACAGAACTTTATCAAAGAGGAAAAACTAACGAATATTCGATAATATATTGTCCAATTTTATCTTCTATCTGTGAAACAATTAGCAATTATTTTAAATTTTATTTTTTTGTGTCAGTAAAAAGAGAATTTTATTTTCTATAAAAGTATCTAATTTTTTTTTTTCGAATAAATTTTCGCGTTAGAGAAAATTTAGTGAGATAAACATCTACTACATCGTGCGACTTACGAAAATCGAGCAAGAAAATAAATAATAGAATATATCGATGTGTGTTAGAACAAATATTTTTGCAAATAAAAAAATTGAAATAGAATATATCGAAATATCGAAAAAAGTTGCTTCCAGAATAAGCTGATGTATTATTTTCGATTGATTTAAACGAGTCTAAGTTGTTCAACTATTTTTTAAGTAAGAGTATATTCACCATTTAGTTCAGAATTTATTTGTGCATACCAAGGTATGATCATGAGCATTTTACAAAATAAGATTGAATTAAGATAAGCGAATTTTTTATAAATGTATCGCTAAGGTCGTGAACATGCAAAATTATTTTCTATCTGTTGATGTAGAATATTTACCTTTTAGCATGACTCTTAATAAGGTCATAATAACACAATTCGTTTTTTTGTACTTCAAAAAAAAAAAAAAGAATTCATAGTTTGATAATTTAATATTTTCTAATCTAATAAAGTTTAACCTTTCATGAAAAATCTCTCAGTAAAATAAAACTCGAGAGGTTTTTTGGCAATTAAATATCCTTGTTATCAAGATTAGAATTTTATGTAGTAATTAGTCTCAAAAACTTTCATCGAAAAGACCTTGTAATTGAAGATATTTTAGATTTTTTTCTTGTTTTTAAACAGACAAATCATTTTGATGACTTTGTCAGAAAATTAATTTACGGCAAAAACGTGTTCTACATACTTATGTTGTTATTATAAATATGGTTTAGTCAGGTTTATGAAAACTTCATTGAATGATTCGCAATCATGTAATGATTAAATACGAGCCACGGTTAATCGATTATTGTTATTTGTTAGTGATAGTGATAGTGTTTATTTTACTAATCCATCATTTATTATTGTTGTTATCATTAGAATTAATATTAGACTCTGATGCTTAAATTCAATATTCTCATTATTTTTTGAGTTCGTGTTTAACAAATGATTACATATAACGAGTAAGTGATGTCAATCCATTAATCAGTTGACTCCTGGTATCCTACTAGAACTAATTAGGTTGAAATAGTAGTCGTATATATATATATATCGTATTGAAGTTATCATGTTTGTCGAAGTTATAACTTCTATAACGTAGATTATCGAAGCTGTTTTAATTTAGTTAAATAGTCAAAATTTGGTGATTTGAATGACATCATCGAAACTGACACTTGAAATTAGTCTTTTACCAATGAACAAATATATATTTGTGTAAAAAAAAAGAAAAAAAATATACAAATTATGAAGAGAAAATGTACGACAAGGTAGAAATAAATAGTAGAGCTTGAAAGGATCATATTATTTATTACAGCAAGTTGTAGAATGATGACAACATGAATTGCATAGCATTTTGGATTGCTTACATTTCATCTGTTTGTTTTACAACCATCTTTACAATCACATCTTAATACTCCTTGTCTGCCAGTAATACTTTGAAGTCGGGCTACTTCTCGTAATGATTTTGGATCATCATTTTTAATATCTTGAACAAATAACGTTGGTAGATCTGGTACTTTAGATATCTGATGATAACTATAATAATCTAATAAAACTCCATTTTCCGTATCTAATTTCTATTTATCATATTTAATATTCATTATAACAGCTAATACATTGCGTGCATCTGTTGGACCACGATCAACATCTGATACCGGTATTAACTAAATGAAAAAATCTCAATGTTGAAATAGATGAACGAAGTATAGCATTAAAATACTCACAACATTATCATCAACGTTCCAGTTTGTTAATTTTTGTTTCTTAAGTGTATTTTGTAAAAATTCTTCGACTTGGCGTTTTTGGCATTCTCGAGCGTCTTGGCGTATTATGTTCGTTGGTTCAAATCGATTATTCAATGAATTTATAATATGCTCATCATCATCATTTTCTAAATGTTGATCACCTTGCTCATGGCTAATTTCTTCATGGTCATTAAGTAAAAGTTCTTCGTCATGAGCACTTGCAACTTCATCAATTGTATTTAGATCAATGGCTGATAAGCCTAATTCATTCTGTAATTCTTCTTCTATTGTTATACTATTAAATATTGATGATGTAATGAGGCTGACCATAAACCGACTTTTTGTTCCTGGTCAAATAAAACTGAATATGGAATGTGTTTTATCACACGATTATAACATGAATTCTTCTGAAATTGTACAAATCGTAGACCTTGCGACCATTTTGTGCAGTTATTTTCGCGAATTCATGTTTCTAAATCGAGAGAAAGACTCAGAAATAACTACATTCCTCATTACGGTTCACATACCTATTAATTGTTTGACATCATGATTAAATCGTTCTACCGAACCTTGTGATTATGGATGACGTGGTCTTCCATGAACGATGCGAAGGCTTTTCCACATTCCTGCTAATTCTTCAATAACCTTCGCCACAAACTCACGATCGTTATCTGATTGCAAAATAGCTGGAGCGCTGAACATTGTAAAAGTATCTAATAGATGGTATGCGACTCTGCCATTGTTTTGGTTTTCAATGATCTTAAATTACAAAATTTCGTAAAATGATCTTGGTAATTTAATATAAGTTTATATGGGCCATCAGAGCAGATTGCATGCCAATTAAATCCACTTGACCACGTGCATTAAAATTGTTTGAAGATATTGGATGCACGACTAGCTTCGATGAATTTTTGGATTTTACATTTTTTGTTTTGCATTCATAACAACCAGAAATCAATAACTTGCCTTGCTTTTCGGTAACATTTGCATACTTCTTGTTAAATTTCTTTCATTGTATTATGAATACCGCGATGGCCAATTGAAGCATGAATAGTTTGTATTACATCAACTAATTCATCGAATAAAGCATAATATTTAACTTTACCAGCTTCTGATGAATTAATCTTTTTTACTAATTTCTGTTGGTTACCAACATTTATTAAGTCATGTTTTTAATAATGAAATTTAATGTCCGCTTCTATCACTAAGGCGTTTTAATTTTGCATCCACTTATTAATTCAATTGCGTGATTGTAACGCTCTGATGTAAATGATGGATTATTTGATGAATCATTTTTAGTTGTCAATACTTCAATATAGGGGTGTCATATTCCACTTACCATCACTAGTAAGTGGTAAGTGTTAGCACTTACCACCTACCAGAAAGTGGTAAGTGGTTACCACTTTCCACTTACCAGGAAGTGGAAAGTGATACTAGTTACCATTTACCACTTTCTGGTAAGTGGTAACTAGTATCACTTACCGATAAGTGGTAAGTATGACATTTCTTTATAATGAGGTCACTTCTAGATGGTCGTTATCAAGTGATAGACCGTCTCGAATAACCCAGCCTAAGCGACTGAAGGAAAAACACGTGATGATCTACTTATATATATACCAGGCTTACAAAGAAACCATTGGAAGTGATTCACCGCTTTTGAGCTCATATTTTGTGGATATTGAGATGACTTCTAGACTAGAATAATCCTAAAAGGATTTGATCCTACGGCCTTCCTGCCTCGAGATATTGAATTTTCAAGTTCTTGGGTAACACAGTGTTTTTTGATCATGTATCACTGCATCATACCACAAACGAAAATGTACTACAAGCTAAAAGCTTTCTGATAAACTATGTTATTATTATAGCACACATTAGTCTTCTTCATAAATGACAGCGGTTACACATTGAATTCTTTTTCTACGACTAGTTATATTCGAAATGTTGCGATCAAGGAGATCGATAGAAAATATTTATGTACGATAGTGATAAGCTTCGACAAAATACTCGAAACAAAGAAATTTACGACAGTAACTGCATTGAATAAAAGGCAGCAAATGACAGTTTGACTGCTGACAAAAACTGTCATCGACATTAAGACAAATTTTGTTGATGGACTCGAGATCTCCTGGTAATTGACCGACGTCACCTGCTGTGAACCATGAATACTTTACCATAGGTATGAGCATAGATGAGGACAAGTGGTTGTGAATTAAAGAATTTAAGCGTATTATATTGTTTCGTTTAGATAAGTTAATGGCAATATCATCGAGTTGACTATGATCGGAAATGCGCGGAGTAATCGATTTTGATTGTCTATTGAAATAAACATCGAGTGGTTGAATGCGCAATGTAGTATAAGCAGGTATTTCTAGTCTTTTACATCCTTTGAAGCCAGAGTATTTATTTGAATTTCACTGATCGGATCAATAATCCGAGAGTAAGAGAAAGTTTGCTGGAGGAAACGAGCGAAGAACGTGATCCCTTCTGTCTTCCACCAATGAGATGGTGAGGCTCCCTGGAGAACTGCATGTTAGAGCAATGTTCTGGACAGAAAAAAAATGTGTTTTTGATACCTAGTAAACGATATATCCTTTTATTCTAAAAGAAACATGAAATCCGTTAATTCGGTGTCGTTTATCTTCCACTTTGGCTCGTACTAGCAAAGAAGAACGGGGCCGACGAGTTTTCCAGCAAGAGATATCATTTTTTGAATATTTTAAGAGTGCGTTGTAGGATTTGCTGACTTCATACGAGCCAACGTAATATTTTCACCCTCATTCCAGAGTGTTCTGGTCGATTGAACTTCAAGTTCCAGACCGATCTGATCGGTATTTTAAATTTCTTCAGGTGCATAGTTCTTCATCTCCCGTTTTACATCGGCTAAAAAAGCATCGGCAGATGTAATGATAGCATCAGAATTTTCTGTATGACGACGGGTCACTAGTTTCGTGAGTTTTCTCGGACAAATACGGTGATGATCTTTGAACACTTGCTGCCAATGTCCAGATGCTTCAAATGTAAGAACAGCATTCTCAACAGCTTTTTGAAGTGCTCATCGTTTCAGATCCCAATCGTGTACAGAGAGCAGAACGTCTCGAGCTTCTTCGAACTTGTCATAAACAAATCATCGACAAACCTGTATCTTCGCTCGATTTGTATCACTTTGTTAGATGCAATGACGAAAGTAGGCAATATATTGTTAGTGAGGAACGAATTTGAACCGATGCTGTGTCGACTTCCACATATGTTTTGTTCTGCCTTTCGAATGACGCCCATCGTAATAATCAATAGCCTTTCCCGTGTACTTGAGACTGAACTTCAGTTTAATTGGAGACTTTTCAGCTTTCGCAATCTCATTAATACTGGGATCAAGATTTTCGTTTTCCAAAGCAGTAATTTCATCTTCAAAGTCACTGAATAATTCGTTATCATCATAATCAAGAGTCACATCTGTGTGGTTCTTCATTTTGAGTCCCTCGATCCACTAAAAGCCTCGTAATTCTCGTAGGACTAATCATCCTTCTGGTTACACAGTAAATGAAAAGAAAATATCTTACAACGAAGACTCAAGCGAACTACATGTATCACAACATGCTTTTGCTTATTACGATAATCATAACACAGTCTCTATCATGTGGCACAACAGAACGTATTGAAATGCGTACTGTACGGATTTTTTCTCCTTCTCATCGTCCAGCAGATGTGTCTGTAACGATTGTTTGATTGATGAAAAAATTATTGTAAACGATATACTTGAAGTAAAAGTCTGTGAGGTTCAGGAAAACATGCTGATGATGAGAAAAATTTATCAGAAAAATATTAGCTTCTAATACGTTTTCGTTCGTAGTATGATGCGGTAATATATGGTCAAAAACACTATATTACTTAGGAACTTGAAAATTCAATATCTCAAGACAGCAAGGCCATGGGCCGAATCCCACTGGAATTATTCTAGTCTAGGGATCCCCTTAATATACAAAAAAAACATGAGCTCAAAAATGATGAGTCACTTCGAGCGGTTCCCTCGTTAGTTCCTACTTGATACTGGATCCACACTTAATGATTCTGCACTAATGACTACTGATTCGTATTCTATAAATACCAATCATCATTCATGTTAGAAACAGGATTGCATATCTCAGTTAGAATACAACCCGATCGAACCGGTATCCAATCGCCGATTGACTCCTAGTTGGACTATAATGGTACATACCTAAATTAAATTAAGTGAGTCAAAAAGTTGATAAAAGGCTTATGGTGGAATCATCAATTTTATGTTGCGAATGGTCTGTCTTCAACAAGGGGGAAACAGCAGAATCCATGAATCCACTTGAATCCGCTTGAATCCACTTGAATCCACTTGAATCCAAGGGACTGGATTCTGCTGTTTCCCCCTTGACAGATAGGCCTTGATCATTACTACATTTTTTATTCCGACATCAAGTCGAAATTTTGTAGTTCAGCTAGCAGCAACATGTTTGCTTCGATTTTTCATTGCAGTGGCATGTAGTTTCCATTAGGTGATCAAATTATCACAATGAAATAGCTGTCGTGATCGAATCAAGACAAGCTTTCTAATTTGATCACAAAATTAACGCAGTAAAAAGAGTGAAGATTAAAACAAAGATTGATAAAAAATATACACGAAGATAGGCTGTGAGCTGAGGAATCGGATAATATAATTTTTTTTAATGATACCGCAAAGACTTTTCTGATGAAACAACTTTTTTTCTGAGCACTACCGTCAAATCTCATGTAAAGGATCAAATTAGGACAAACAATAGCTCAAATGATTGAATTAGAACAGCAACAGAATGAGTACAATCGTCGAGCCAGTGTTTTTTATAATCGCTATTACTCATTTAGAAATAATAAATTATCAAAATAATATCAACAAAAAATATAGAATGTCAATGGCTGTATCCTGGAAAAACAAGATGAGCACAAACGGATGTTGTGGAACAAAGATAGCAGTTTTTTTCTAAAAAGCACGGCGATTGTTGATTGAATTAGGACTAGATGCTATATATTTGGTGAATTGTTCTACTATTACCCATGGTGGAGAAATCCTGCGGTGCCGTTAACTTGTGTGGTTCTTAAGATTCGGCATGTTACGCCAGTTCTGAAGATTGACAGTATTTTTTAATATCTTGGCTGTTTTTAAATAGTCCTTTAAAACGTTTCTTTAAAAGACAAATATATATTTGAGGACAATATTAAATTTCGACAGCTGTTAAGCATTAAAGCAGTGTTTAGAGTTGCAGAATTCAAACTCATTTGTTCTCTCTTTTGTATCTTAGAAAAAGTCAAAAAAACATAACAAAATGGGTTTGTGTGCCTGTTAATTGTTGATATAGACAGTACCACAACAAGCAAATAGCTGTTGAAGAGAAGAACCTCTTGGGAAAGAACTTTTAAGAAAAAGCGGATCGGATATTAAATAAATGTAAAATTATAATATAGTTCTGCATAGTTTTACTATTTTCAGTAAGATGATTAAAAGTCAGCTGTCTTGATGTGATTTGATGAAAATACATCAGAGAAATAGTTTCTTTATTTATGTGAATTCATTATTGATGTTCAATAAAAGATGATTCATAAGAAAGACAAAAAGAAAAATATGACTTCAACAGAGAAGATTCCACGGCGCTGTATTGAAGTAAAGATGCATAGCTGTGAATCCACCGATATCCTCGAAATACTTTTCCAAGCAGGTTGGTACAATCCTCATAAACTTCTGAAAATTTATAATAAAAATAAATGAAAAAATTCGTTAAAATGTTTGTGTGATACGAACCGAAACTGCTCCGTATGGTACAGGTTCTGTCCGTTTTGTATATTCATATTTGCCGGCAAGACCCCATCCGAACCCTGTCAATTTACCTTTGTTGTACAGGAGAAAGACAGGAAATATTTCATCACATTCCTTGTCGAGCCGATTATCGTACCAGTAATGAACACCTGAAGAGAAATTGATAAAAATAAAAGATTTTTTAATCAGATCGTGGAACTTACCCATTGATGGAAAACACGAGCCCAATACCCATCTCGTCGTGTTGATTGTATTTTCATGCAATGGTATCGGAACTGAATCACGAATAGGATCAGATCCATTTTGTAGCCAAAGACCAGTGCCTGAGCCCTCAAGTTTAAGACGAGCTTCATCTCGACCCGATGTACAAATGGTACGCGGATCGACAAAGTAGGCTGTCAGCACGTAGGAATCCGTGCCTGCAACTATAGCTCGATTATACATTTTTTGTGCGTCAAATTTATAATATTTTGTTTTGGCCATGGAGACAGGAAGCTTAAAAAAAAGTGAGACTCATACAAGAATAACCTAAACAACTTACTGCTAATTGTACTCCGGCAAGGCTACCTTTTATATCGTAGATTAACACCAGAGCAATATCATTGTCTTTGATGAAGCGTTGTCCGAGAAATTGTCCTTTGATAAAAGAGAGCAAAATACTGAAATATACATTTGATAACACTCACCATCGCATTGAGTGGAAATCTGAGCAAAACCTTCCTTTTTTGCTTCAGCAACGGTTAGAGGTTGCGCAACAAAATAATTTTTACTAAGGGGATTTGGACCCCATGTAACTTTAAAAGTGTTCCATTCAGGTTCGGAGCCACTACGACTAACACAGAGACCAGACCCTAAAATGAAAATAAAATTTTGTATATCCTATTTCCATTCTCTATACTACGTACCAGCACTGAGGCATCCAATCAAGACAAATATGAGATATTTCATTGGAAGGATCTTGTCAACCGTTGTTTCACTGCTAAAGGTATTGTAATAGAATAGTTTCCTATCTGGTTACACAACGAAAATGAAAAATGGGTCTTCGATCAATGAATATTTAAAGGCCTCGGAAAATGATTGATTGTTATTATTGAGTCAAATATTAAGGATTAAGAGAAAGAAAGTCGAGTAATGATGATTGCATATTTGCAGAAT